TACTGACAGACAAGAGATTTCAAAAAACGGTTTAAGATTTATATAGAAAACTGTAGAATGATCAGCACCCTTGGTGAACACATCAGTACCCTTGATGAAGACCAGGAGCTTGAAGATACAAAAGACAAAGGTTGAGTTAATTCCAAATGTCTTTTCAGAAGAAGTTCGATATTCAGTAATATCTTCAATGTCCATTCGGATGCCGGCTGAGAGAAAAATGCTCGAACCGATGACTGTGTTTTGCCAAGTAGGGCGTACGACGAACTAACAGTTTGCATTGATGAAGCCGCGATTCTTCACTGATCTGTGGACCGGCAGGCTGCCATTTTTTTTGTAATTCACCGGCTTCCTCATTGAATGGCGATGGTACCATCGATTGCCCACGTTTCCATCCATTCCATAGGCGTTTGCCATGACTAAAGTCGTCAGCGACGTTTCATTTCGTTTCGACTACATGGTCTGCTAGTCATCGATCTTTTGTGGCCCATGTTTTGTTTCTCACGGCAGCAGCTAAGGTACAAGCGAAGCATGGTTGCTTCGATTCCGTGTCTGAACACGTTTCAAACGTGTCCTTGATGTTCAGGTCAGTTGATTATCCTGTTCTATTCTAACAGTAAAACCGTACTTCTGATTTGTTGCTTCCCCGCTTTCACGGCTTCAGTTTAGTATTCGTGATCAACCAAATGACAATTATCAGTTATTATCTTACTACCCTATTTATTTTCTGTTTGTTTGAAAACGACTATTTCTCGGTATTAACTCAGTGTGCAGAAAAATACATAGGCATGTGTATGCTACCTTCCTGAATGGTAATCGGTAAATAGCGAAAGGGCGTAGACCGAAACTGATTTTCGGTTCAGGCTAAGTCGAGAGCACCGCTGTTTTACTGGAATATTGCTAAGTCACCGCTATGCCTAAGCCTCAACGTTTTCTCCTGCATATGCAAGTTTACGCGTTGGCTTTGACACAGGTTGAAACGTACACAGCAATGCATTAAAAGGCACAAATTACCAGTCTGTACTGAAAATCCAGCAAGTTTCGGTCTATATTGGTATGAATGGATTACCACTCTGGATTGTAACAGCGTAAACAAGTAGGAAATGCCATTCAGTCCAATAGTATTATATGAACTTGATGGGTATCTATCCTTGTAATCTTATTTAAACAATAAATACTTCAGCTGCTCAGTGGCTCTGGAAGTAAGCTAAAATAAATCATGTCCCGTTTGTGCGCGGAAGTTGGTTTTGGCTTTCCGATGGACAATGGTCATTGTGCTGCATTCTTTCTTCGTAGAGAAAGCGGTGCGTTGTGTAGACCGTAACGACGACAAGTGGTAAGTGTGAGCTGAGCTCCCTTGTACACTGAATAAAAAGATGAGGTAATAGACAGACGGCTTCTGTCGTAAACAGAAGTCATAGTTCGCATTTGTGTCGTACAGTGCTGATGCGCTTTGTGTCGTTAGGCCGGGACGCCGGTGTCTTGAGCGTTTAGTTCGTTGAACCAGAAACAACAGCAATGCACACACACAACCACTACTGGTAGTTTTAACATTTCGTGTTTTGTATGTTCAGGTAGACCCGTCTGGTGAAGTGATCGAGTTCAACAGTGGCGGTTGTCCTTGGCGAGAGCATTTGTTCGAGTTGGAGAAAGAACTGCAGGTCAAACCAATTAACTACGTGCTGTTTCCCAGCTACGACCGCAAATCGTGGATGATCGTGTGTGTTCCTGCACGACCGACTGGTTTCGCTTTGCGGTAAGTGAAGTCGACGTAAGCATCGATGCGACGAACAGCCGGCGAACGCTTGTCGCTTGACCGCCTTTGAAGTGACCAGTGATCGGCGATTGTTCTCGTTGGCCATCG